GGGAAGGAAGTAAATGGCATAGAGACCTGTTGCACCACATGGGTTTAGGGTGGAGTTAAGTGTACTTCATTTCAACAAAGTCAAGCTGGTTGCAGCTGAGCTGTTTCTCCCTAGAAGCATTATCTCCTACTCTAACATAATTTCTGCTGCATGGATTTACACAGGGCCTCTGTTCAAAATGGATTTTTGGCTACCAGATACAGTATGTGACCTAAAGTTTTATGGAGCATGTTTCTAATGTGCTGCCCATACTTGTAACCAACATGAAATAAACAGCCCTTTCTGCACTAACATTACTTTTCTATAGAAGGCATTCTTTGTCTGTGACAACTACTGTATAGTGTGGAGCATTGCACTAGAGGTTTTGGGCAATGCAATATGAAATGAAAAAAAATGAGAGATTTATTGCAAAAGAAAAATTAAAACTGTTATTTTTTAAAAAAATAATTGATCTGGGTTAGAGTTATGGCTCAGTGGTAGAGCACTTGCCTGGCATGTGTGAGCCCCTGGGTTCAACCTTCAGCACCACATATAAAAAATAAGTAAATAAATAAAAATAAAAAATCCATTGACAACTAAAAATATATTTTTTAAGTAATTGATCTGCAAAATAAACAAACAAAAAAATCTAGAATGAGTATACCAAACACTAGAAGTATTGAGATAATTCAACAACTTCACTGGACAACAATAACAACTTGAGAAAACCAGCCAGGCTAGTGGTGGCTCAGGGTGGGTACTTGCCTTACACTCATGAGACCCTGAGCTCCCTCCTCAGTACTGAAAAAAATTAATTTTTGTACAATTGAAACCATCAGTTAGGAAACACCATTCACAATATCAGCCAAACTATAAAGCTCCTGGAGATAGAGTGACCACTCAGTGGCTGGAAGCATGGACGCCACTGAATCCAGCTCTGTTCCTTACTTGCTAGGTGTTCCTGAGAAGTTTTTTTTTTTTTTTTTTTTTTTTTTTTTTTTTATCTGAGTTCAGTTTCCTCATCTGAAAAATGATGGCAGTGAAAATTCCTACAATAAACATAAGGTTGTTGTGATTATTGCATGATTTAGCATAACTATAGAAGAGTCTCTTGGAGAAAAAATTAAAGAACACAGTGAATATGATTTAATGAAAAAATTCTGTGCCCCTTGAATGGGAAGTCCCAATATATAAAAAGCTGGTGTCTCTTCTAATTAATATATTCAGTAAAATCACATTGGAAACTACAAGAAGACTTTTTGAGAAATTTAATAAAATACCTATTCATACACACACATATATGATTAATATCCTGAATATTCAAATATAATACAAATATCAGTATGAAAAACACCAACAACCCAATGCAGAAATAGAAAAAGGACATACTCAGATAATTCCAAGACAAATGCACATTACTTGTAGACATATGAAAACTACTCTGCTGCATTATAATTAAAGAAATGCATGTCAAGTTAATAAATATGCTTCTTGTTTTTGTTGTTTTGTCTTTCTTTGTAGAACAAGGGATTGAATCCAGGGCCTCATGCATGCTAAGCAAGCCCTCTACCATTGAGGTAATCTCCAGCCCACAGATATGACTTCAACCTATGATTATGA